GCCTTCTATAACAGTAGGATTAATCGTGTGTGATGTCTTCTACAACGCGGGGGATTCCGAATGATCAAGGTTCATCAGCTTCTCAGGATTAGCATCCGCTTCCATCAGACTAACACCCTCATCAAGCGACTTAAGGCTAACACGTCGGGGCTTCTTCACGAACCGCCCATCATCAAATGACGACGGGATAGAGTGGCGGGCAGCATTGAAATCTTCCGAAAAAGTTAGAGAATGTATTAGGGTTTTCCTAGGTTGACTTAAATAAATTTTTATATTTAAATCTCGTAAATTATCATTTTCAATTGAATTTATATTTCATTAACTTTCACATCAAATTCAATTAGAAATTATATTAAAATAACAGAGATTAATTGTCCGTTCAACTCAGTTGGTAGAACGTAAGGCTCTTAACCTTGTGGTCATGGGATCGAGTCTCACGGTGGGCAATTCATAATTGCCAGAGGTCTTTCACGGAAGTTGCTTTCAACCTAACATTGGGGGCAACCTACTATCCTACCTCCCCTTACCCCATTACATATGAGAATAAGGTCAGCTAAAGCTAATTTTATTAAAATAATAGAGAGATTATTAAATACATAATTAATTTAAGTTTGAAGTACATTAATATTGCACATAAGTACTAGGAAGTGGTCACAACTATTTTAATCTAAATAAAATTATTTGATTCTGATTTGTGATCAAATTTAATTTAACATAAATATTAATATAAATGAAATATATAATTGCTTATGTCTATTTTACTGCATATAACTAAGTATTAGGAGGTGGTCCAGATTGTTGTGGTAGGTTTTTTTTTCTTGTATGTTGTATGTCAGTATGTGCTATTGCATCTGCTATGATCAACTCTTGTTAGGGTAGGGTTTCACAATTAATGTTCGGAGATTTTTAGCAATTAATATTTTATTTATTATAAAATATAATTATAGTAAATGAAATTAAGCTTCAAAAACATCTATACAGAGTTCACATCTGATTTTAAAATTAATTATTTAAAAAAATCAAAATTAGTACAATTATTACCTCTAACTTTTATTAGACTAACTCCACATGCATTAATCCTATCATACCCTAAAACTCCTTAACCATCTGATACTGAGATATTTTATTTACAATACCCAAAATAATGTTCAAAATTTATAAACAAAAGAATAATAGAAACTAAATTATATAAACGATCATATTTAGTTATTTTATTTAAAATGTATCATATAATATAAAATAATAAACATACTTTTATGTTTATTTTATTTTATAAAAATAATTTTTAATAGTTTTTAATTGAATTTATAACAAATTAATTTCTAATAGTATCAATTAAGTTAAAGATTTATTTCGTAGGATACTATTGTTTAATTTTATGTGTTTTATTTATTTTATTTTAATAAAACTTGAAAACGAAAAGTTAAATTAAACTGAAAATAAAGGACAAATTAAAATAGTAAAAAAATCAAGCAAGGTTAATCAAAAAAATTATATGGATATATTATATCATTGGGTAAAGTACATAAATGGTTCTTCGATTATAGGATGCTACTTTTTTTAGTCTCTCAACTATTAAAAATTACAAAATGGTCCTTTAACTATAGGGTATTGCTTTGTCGAGTCACTTGACTATTAAAAGTTACAAAATAGTCACTTGACTATTCATATGTTCTAAACTCGTCTTTGTTCGTTAAAATATTGACAGCCGTATGAGCAAGACGTTAACATGCTAATTGTGATATGATAGATGGTGGGGATTCTGGGATCGGATTTTATCATATCTCACTCAGCAGGTTGACATCATGCTCAAACGACCGCCAAATTTTTTTTAACGGAAAATGATGAGTTTGCAATATATGAATAATTAAATGAAAATTTTGTAACTTTTAATAATCGAGGGACTCAATAAAATAATACATATAGTCGAAGGAATATTTTGTAAATTTTAATAGTAGGAGAACTCAATAAAATAACATCTTATAGATAGGGGACCATTTGTATATTTTATCCTATATTATATTGTTTATGTCTATTATAGTGCGGGCGGGTAATTAGGAGGTGGTCCATATTGCTGTTAGTTTTTCTTTTGTGTGTGGTGTATGTGCTATGGTATATGTTTTGATGAGCTAATGTGTTGGATTATTTATTAGGATTATGGTCACTAAATTATATTTGAGTTGATTTTTTTATATCTCATCTTTGAAATAATGAAAGTATATTTTCTAAAATAATTGTGCTAATATGGAAGACCAAAACTAAAAAATTTATCTCTGGATGCTTACCCTCTCATTTTTCTCTAAATTTGTGGTGTTATTATTTGTTATCGGAAGTTGGAATTATTTTTGAAATGTAGTGTGAGTCCTTGAAAGAAGACAAATGGAGAAATGGAGCAGAGATGTCTGAAGAAGAAACATGGAGAAGATGAATAATAATGGGATTGGGAAGAAAACTTATTAAAAATAGATAAATTGAAATGTTGTCCCTAAACTAATTTGAATTTACAAAAAGACACATAATTCATATTTTGCCTGAGGGTTAAAATAAAATTTTAACCATTTTACTAACGGTTCACATCATCAAACTGACGACATTCAACGTCCAAGTGACCAAAACTTAATAAAACCATAACATAAGTAACCAAAAGTGTACAAATATGAAAGGAAAATAACCAAAACTTAATCCACATATTATCTACATGAAAATGATGTAATTTTAATTTTATATATTTATCATGTCACGTTAGCAAATCGTTAAAGTTTTAACGATTGTTAACCTATAGTGACCACATCTTAATTAAAACAAAATGAAAGTCATCACATCTTAATTAAATCAAAACCAAAGTGACCAAATTTTATGCTTTTTGAATTCAATGAGGAAAAGTTCATAAAAACGAAAGTGATCATTTCTATAGTTTACCCCTTATTTTTTTAAATTAATCTGGGGCAAGTACAAGTTAATATTATTCAAAGATAACTCTCAACCATTTGACATTGAACGTTCACACTCCTGGCTTTCCTGGTCCTCGAACCCGAGACGTCAAGGAATAACAACAATTCCTTAGCAATAGAGGTGGTTAGAATCATGCAGTTTACCCCTTATTATTTTAGGAGAAATGATTAAAATGTGATTAGTTTACTCTAGTTTCTAGAGACCCTTTTAATGTTGTTGAATTTGCTCTTTATTTTATAAAATTAGTGACTATTACCAGTTAAAAAATATTTTGTATTTTCAAATTTAATAAAAAAGTCATATGAATATAGTATAGATTAAAAACAAAATTTCTTAAGCATGAGCTACATTAATATTACACATAAGTACTAAGAGGTGGTCACAACTATTAATCTAAACAGAATTATTTGATTGGTATAAGTACTAGAAAGTGGTCACAACTATTATTCTAAACAAAATTATATGATGGTGATTTGCGACCTCGTACACGATTGCTTTCTAGGAGCCATGAATCTTTATAAATTAATTCAGGAGATTGATTTGGTAGGATCCTATAGTTTAATTTTAGGCTTAATACATTAATACACTTCTAGGTGTTTAAACTATACTTCAAATTGATTTTTGGTATCCAAAGAATATTTTACTAAAAATAGATGTCTAACGTTTCTTACATTATACTTTTAGGTGTCTGGACTGTAAAGATTGTTAAATTTGGTCGTTATTTAACATGTGTCGAGCATATAAAATTTTAAAAAATTATTTAAAAAGTATACACTTTTAGGTGCCTAAACTATATCTCAAATTGGCTTTTGATGTCTAAAGAAATTTTCGTTAAAAATAAATTCCTAACATTTTTTTCAGTTACACTTTTAGGTGCTTACTGCTATATTTTTTGAATTTTTTTAATAATAAAAATATTTTTTAAAAAAGAAGTCCAAAAAAGATCAAACCCTCCCCCTTATCGTCCCTCTCCCACCTACTCCCCACCTCCGACAACGATGAAGGGTCATCGCCGACTGGATTTTATTCAGAATAGAGCGAGGAACTCAATGGCAGCGGCCGTGTAACGTATGTCTAGCTGTAGCTGTCAAAATCGTCAGAAAATAGTGAAGGAAAACTTAGAAAATCGGTGACCCTTTGCGACGCTTTTCTCGATGATCGGCACAATTTCATGGTGGGTAGGGGATTGGGTTTTGGTTGTAGTGGCGAAATCGACAGTGATGGTCATTGATAGATGGTGGCCAATCAGCGGTGAAATTTTAGAGATTTTTTTTAATTATAATATTAAATCTTTTTTAAAATTTAAATGTGTGACACGTTTCAGACAATGGCCAAATTTAGCGACCGTTACACCTAAAAGTGTAACATTGGAAATATTAGGCACTTATTTTTAGCGAAAAAATTTATAGGCACCAAAAGTCAATATGAGGTATAGTTTAGGCATTTAAAAGTGTATTAAGCCTTAAAAATAAAAAATAAAAATATAACGGTAGACAACCATTTTTAACAAAAAATTCTTTAGGCACCAATAGTCAATTTGAAGTATACTTTAGACACCTAAAAGTGTATTAATCCTTAATTTTATGTGTTTTACTTTTTTTTAATAAAACTTGAAAACAACAAAATTAAATTAATCGAAAACAATAACATATTTAAATGATAAAAAATTTAATCAGTGGTCAGTTGAAAGCTTTTATAGATTAAATATATTATTCCTTATGTCCATTATACACCAGATAACTATGTATTAGGAGGTGGTCCAGATTGTTGTTGTAGGTTTCTTCTTGTGTGCTGTATGTAATATTGCATCTGCTATTATCAACTTCGGTTATTGTATTTGTATCAGGGACCAACAGAATATTTTATATTAGATATACAGATTTAGAAGTTAATGTTATAAATTTAGAGATACGAAATTATAAAATTTTAAAGATATAAAATTAAATTATCGAATTTCAATGGTAAATGCAAAAGTAATTATGCAAAATCCCAAAGGTACCATCCGAGTATAAATTGAAGCATTATATGTGGACATTACTCAGGCAATTTTTTTCAAAGTCTTCCACTATTCGTTTTGTATACATAAACAAAATGATGAGCTCAGGAACACAGGCTAAGCTTCCGGTTATAGATTTCTCAGACCCAAACCTGAAACCAGGCAGCCCTGAATGGGATTTGGCGAAACACCAAGTCCGTCAAGCAATGGAAGAGTACAGTTGTTTCGAAGCTTTGTTCGACCAAGTCGTCGAGCTTCGAAACGAAGTAATGGTAGCCTTGGAAGAGGCCTTCGACTTGCCTTTAGAAACAAAAAGGCTCTATGTGTCGGACAAGCACTTTTACGGCTATTTCGAGTCTACAACAGGATTGCTCGAGAGTCTAATGGTCGATGAAGCACAGGTTGCTGATAGCATCGAACAAGGCCTGACCACCACCTTGTGGCCTCAAGGAAACATAAGCTTCAGGTTCCGTTCAAGCCTAATAACTCTTTTGATTAACAAACCCTTTTTCTCAATTAAAATATACTAATCAATTGGTGTTCATTTGGCAGTAAAACTCTGGTCTCTTTCACGGAGGTATCTTCAAGATTAGAGAAGATAATCAGGAGGATGATTTTGGAGATTTTCGGTGTCGATAAGTACGCCGATGAGCTCGACGACAACACGAATTACATGCTGAAGCTCATGAAGTATAATGCGCCCCCGTATGGCAAGCCGACCAGCGGGGTGTTTGCTCACTGCGACAAGAACATGGTGACCCTGTTGTACCAAAACGAGGTTGATGGATTGCAGATTCAGAACAAAGACGGTGAATGGATGAATATAAAACCCTCGCCCGACTCATTCATAGTAATGGTCGGAGAGTCATTCAACGTAGGTCACTTATTTATAACACATGTTCTAATTCCATTGTTTAAAGGCCATGGCTTGATTAATCGCATTGATATTATCACAGGCACTGTTAAATGGGGGAGTGTCCCCTACATATCACCATGTGTTGATGAAGGGGAACAACGCAAGGTACGGTTTGGGATTGTTTTCGGGCACAGTAACAGGGTACCATGTCAAGGCACCGGATGAGCTTGTGAATGACAACAATCCCATCTTGTTCAAACCCTTTGACTACGAAGAATATTTAGGGTTTTACTTTGCGCAGGTCCCTCTTGGACGTGCTGGATCTACTCTCCAAGCTTATTGTGGTGTTTGAAATTTGGGTTATGTATGTTTGTTGCATATTGAAGAATTGTGTGTGATCAACCTTTCTCTCTAGGTCTTTGTGTCTCTATATATATATGGTGAAAGTCACTTATCCTGTTAAGGTTTGATGTAAAATATTTGTACTTCTATGGTTTGAAAATATGCCACAACCCCTCTTGGAGATGCAAGACCTGGTCTCAAAGGTTATTGCAGTATCTAAGATTTGGGTTTAAATAATTGATGTATGTAATGTAAGGAAGTGTGTGTTCAAGCTCTTGGTCTTTGTGTGTGTCTCTCTCTATATATATGTTACGGATAAAAAAACAACCATCCCACTGGAGTCACCTAGAACACTTCCATTACCAGCCAACCCAGGGCGCATTCTAGTAGAGATAAACACATGATTTTATGTTAGGGGTAAACTTTTAAAATTTTACGAGAGAACAAACTTATAAAATTCTAAGACGATGAAAATATATTATCAATAGAAAATACTAAATAATATATAAAATGTATGATAATTTAAAATTTTCAGGGAACGACAGTGCCTGACCACCCCCTTTCATCCATCTTTGCCCCTAGCAGCTGCGTAGAGGTTAAATTTTAAAAGATGTTCTAAAAGAAGAGCCAGTAAGTTTTGTTGAAAACAACATTAGATGCCAACTAAACATACTAAACTGTCGTATAAAAACAGTACGTTAATAATTGAAATTGTTCAAAAGAATTACATCTTGCATTATTTGAAAAAAATCATGAAATCTTAAATCATCTTCGGTTGTCAATGGTCCCAAGGTGGCTCTCTCGCCCCTCTCTTCCTTTCTATCTGATCAAAATCATCGAAAATCCTTCTAATTGAAATCCCTAAAAAAAAAACCTTACCTTTTCGAACTTTGATCTACCATTTCTAGAGAAATATGATGATTCAAATATGTTTTCATGACATTTTTTTCGTGTTCATGATATGTCTAAAGTGCATTTGTTTAATATGAATGATATTTACCAACATTTAGAAGTATATATGACATTGCACAAGTAAAGGAACCCATATCTCATCAACTATCCACACATATTCTAAGACGCTTTCATCTCGTTCGAGAGAACATAGATCGAGACGTGGAAATATATAGAATACACACGGATGATAACATTATTGATCCCCTAACGAAACCTCTAACACAACAGAGGCATGATCGTTTATGCACATGCATACATGATCTAAAAACTACAAAATTTAGTAAAGCTTCACTCACATGTAATTTTGATTCCTCTAAAAGGCTTACATGTCATACATAATGTGTTAAATATGTTCATATAAGTTGCACATAATTTCTAGATTATTTGAGTCTTCCAAAGTTCACCAAAAATATTCAAATTTTTATTTTCAATTATTGATACTAATAAACTTTGAGAATAGAAAATGTATTAATATCTTATTGCAGGCGTGGTTATCTTGGTGTGTACGGATACCTTAGTGTAGGTATGGACACCTCATCAAGAGTATCGACATATGATTTAAGGTATCGGTGTTTTAATATATTTTCTAGGGTAAATCATGCATTTAGTATCTAAATTATCAACTTTGGTTCGTTTTAGTACCTAAACTTTTAGTTTTTTTCAAAATCATTCCTAACGTTTAATTTTTGTTTTATTTTAGTACCCCCACCGTTAAAAACTTAACTCGTTTAGTACATAAACTATCAATTTTGGCCCGTTTTAGTACCCCAAAACTTTCAAAAAAATCCTCAAAACTTAACATTAAATTTGAATAGGGATACTAAAATGAAACAAAAACAAAACTTTAGGTATGATTTAAAAAAATTAAAAGTTTAGGTACTAAAACGTATCAAAATTGATGGCTTAGATACTAAAAGCGTAATTTACCCTATTTTCTATTCTTTTGAAACAATTAGGTAAACAAGTTATCAATACTGACCATTAATTGGAGTTGGTGATTAAAAGGAGTGGTGTTCTCTCTTGAAGATATGAGTTAGAGTAATTACATTTGCAGTGTATGTGCATTATTCATGACTAAGAAAAATCATGAACATATACTATATCTTTTAATCACCTCATACTATTAAAAAAATCATCGATATTTTTTACGTAAACTTTCAAAAATTATAATTTTATCACAGAACTTTCATATTCTTCTAAAAGGTTCATGTATGACAAAATTGGTTCACAGGAGATTGGTTTGAATTGTATATTGGCTTAATTATTTGATTGTAATGCTTCAATGATATTATTTACAATATTGTCCTTGCATGACTGATTGTGTATTATAAGTTTTGAAAGTTCTAATTTAATCCTATTTCGACTCAAATTTTCAAATGTAATGTTTTTGGTCTGATAACTAATAGGGTAAACTATGCCGATAGTCCCTTATGTTTTTTGTCTGATTGATTCTGGTGACCAAAGTCGGTCTGACCGGTAGCAAAAGAGACTATCGGCATAGTTTACCATAACTAATAATAGTAATCGTTAAAGAGCGGGATAGTGAATAAATTTGTAAAGTAAAAGAGTGGTTAATATTTATTTTGTGAATTTTTAAAAAATAAATATACGTTATAATTATATACAGAGAGAGATGAAATACATAATTGCTTATGTCTGAACTATATTAGTACTGCATATAACCAAGTATTAGGAGGTGGTCCAGGCTGCTTTGGTAGGTTCTTCGTACAATTATTTGATTGTGATTTGTGATTTTATATTTTAATGAAAATTGAAAGGCAAAAAATTAAACCGAACCGAAAAATAAAGGGTGGAATAAAAATTATATACCTTATAAATTATTTGTATCGTTGCAATTTTTTATTGTACACAAGTGCAAGGAAGTGGTCACAACTATTGATATAAACAAAACTATTTGATTGGCATAAGTATGTACATTAAAGTGGTCACAACTTTTAATCTAAACAAAATTATTTGATTGTGATTCGTGACCTTATACATGCATGGTTGTTTCCTAGTTTCAAAGAATCTTTAAAATTAATTCGGAAGATTTATTTCGCAGGATACTATTTTTGGATTGGGGTTCGGATAAAAATCGGTGTAGTATATGTTCTATATATTCTTAACTATTTGACGATGAATACTTAATCATTTTGTTATAGTCGTTGGTGCTCGACTCTGCGACCTTTAGAAACAATAATGATTCCTTTAACAACCGAAGTAAGTTGATTCATGTAAATCTTCTTATATTTTTTATTAGTTGAATTACTTGACTTAAAATCTTTAACAACTTTAATATTTATATAAATCAAATATTAATTGAAATATCGTTAGACCGATTAATATTTTTTCTCATGAAATTTAAAATTAATTGTAACAAAACTCATCTTGCATTTCTCTCATATCATTGAAAAAATATGCAATAATAATTTCCTTTAAATTTGAATAAATATTCGTGATCACATCAACATAAGTCTCGAACCGTAGCTCTAATGTCACTTTTTAGAAATTTATAAATGAAATAAACCAGTAGCTAATCTAGTTGATGAAGCATTTGATCCCTTAAGCAATGTTAAGGGCTCGAATCTTAATGTTGTGAATAGAGCAAGCTGAATTGTAAGGGTCACTTCCATAATTGACCTTTATAGTATCCGATCCAAATTAATGGACCAATAAATTGAATATCGATGATTAATTCAAAAGAAACTTGTAAACTTAACATTAATCCAAAAATCCCAAAGAAATATGCCAAATTCAAATGGTAAATGCAAAAGTAATTATGCAAAATCCCAAAGGTACCATCCGAGTATAAATTGAAGCATTATACGTGGACATTAATCAGGCAAATTTGTTCTTAGTCTTCCATTATTCGTTTTGTATACATAAACATAATGATGAGCTCAGGAACACATGTGGCTAAGCTTCCTGTTATAGATTTCTCAAACCCAAACCTGAAGCCAGGCAGCCCTGAATGGGATTTGGTGAAACACCAAGTCCGTCGAGCATTGGAGGAGTACAGCTGTTTCGAAGCTTCGTTCGATCAAGTCGTCGAGCTTCGAAACACTGAATTCGGAGCCATGGAAGAGGTATTCGACTTGTCTTTAGAAACAAAAAAGCTATACGTCTCGGACAAGCCCTTTCGTGGTTATTTCGGGCACCGATCAAAATTGCTCGAAAGCATGATGATCGATGAAGCACAGAGTGCTGAAAACATAGAAGAACGCTTGACTACCACCTTGTGGCCTCAAGGAAACATAAGCTTCAGGTTCAGAATATCAACTCTTTCCATTGTTTTGGTTAAATTACACTTTTAGTACCCAACTATCACTTTTATTCTGTTCTGGTCATTAAACTATTTTTTAGTTTCATTTTGATCACCCACTGTTAAAAAATTGACAAAACCGCTTACGTGATATTCTTTTTAAAAAAACTTCAATGATGACGTGACATTATCTTACGATGACACATCAATGTTACCATTAATTTTTGGGTAAACTACGCATTTAATACCTAAACAATCAATTTTGATCTCTGTTAGTACCTAAACTTTTATTTTTTTTAAAAACATACCTAAAATTTAGTTTTTGTTTCATTTTAGTACCTCTATTAAAAGTTTAACATTAAGTTTTGAAACAAATTGAAAGTTTAGACACTAAAACGAACCAAAACTAATAGTTTATGTACTAAATGTGTTAAGTTTTTAACGGTGGGGTACTAAAATGAAATTAAAACTAAACATTATGTATGATTTTGAAAAAAATTAAAAGTTTAGGTACTAAAATAGACCAAAACTGATAGATTATGTACTAAATGCATAATTTACCCTTGATTTTTTAACGGTGGATGACCAAAATGAATCCAAAATATAACGTTAGACATGATTTTGAAACAAAAACCAAAACAGAATAAAAATGATAGTTGGGGCATTA